GGCAGAAATGGAATATAATATTCACATGTTTTCATTAGTGTATAATCAGCTGAAAATAAGAATCATTGTGTTTTTCTTACCTTAGAATGAGCTGTTTATATCTACAGAGGGAGCGGGTCCTTTTCTACGAAGGCCGCCGTGTTTCTACAGGAGCCCAGAACGGACAAACCAAACACTGGCTCTAGATAGGGCCTTTTGCGTTTTCCACCTCAGTTTCTCCTGCACACTTGGAAGGCAAGTGGTATTCAGTTGGTTGCAATCTGCAACTTAACCACTAGATGCCGCTAAATCCTACACACTGGTCCTTTAAAAGAATAACCAAAGGTGTCATCAAAGGCTAATTAATAAAGATCTTAAATCAACTTTTGGCACAGTATAGGTTTTGAACTGCATCATAGAAACTGTGCTTGTGTGAAAGGTTTTTGGAGTTCTTGTCTGATTCCGAATTATTTCCAGCTAATAATTTGTCATTACTAATTACCATTATATTCATATGTGTATGTCACAGAATGGTTTAAAATGAGAGATTCTTCATATTTAGTGTATATCATCATCAATAAGAACACGTATTAGGGCTAGCTACATGAACACCAAACAATGGACATGTGCTGATCCACAGAACTCTCACGGTTCTTACTCACTTGTTCCTCAGAACCTGCCAGGCCGCCTCGATGTCCGCATACAGGTTCTTCTCAGAGGGCTTGCCGGTGCTGACTCCGTACCCTGAGTAATCGTAGGAGAACACGTTGCAGTTGATCCTGGAGCCGAGGCCGATGTAAAAACTGCACATCTGTCCCAGGTCCACGGCGTTACCGTGGGAGAACAGCAGCGTGTACCGGCTGTTCGGGGCGCAGCGCACAAACATACAGCCGACCCGGTTACCCCGGCTGCTCCTGGTGCTAAACACCTCCACTGCATCGAGCTCTCGCTGGGAGTACTGCCAGTCCGCCCGCTCGGTCAAATGTAAGCTAGTTACCCCGTTAGCATCGGTGTGCACAGAGTACGTGGGCTCCGGGGGGAGGAAAGCTAGCTTGGCCGCGATGCGACTGGGACAGGGTGGACAACAGAAGAGCCAGCATAGTTCGCCGAGAGAAAACCCATTCATTCTGGGTCCTTGTTCGGGCATTTAGGCGCGGGGTTACCAATTAATTGTCTGCTATTGAACGAACAAACGGTTCTCTTGTGGCTGCAGCTCTATGTGTTTCCCATTAACGGGCTTTACCGAGCAGCGCTGGCTGACAGGTGTCTCGGCTTTGCGGCTAACGCGCTAGCCGGCTAGCAGGTAGCTAACAACAAAACTCAGCGCTCATGTAGATTAGAGATGAACTACAACGCAGCATTTACACTCCTATTATTCTGCAGCATAAAAGAGTGCAGCGACTAGCCTCGGTGCAGCAATTCTGCTCTTGTAACTCATCACTTGCTACACGTCAAGGTTTATTGCTAGTGCATTGTAAGAAAGAGAACAGCCATTTCTCTGGAACGGAGACAAGCCGGGCTTCCGGCTGAACCGGACATCCGGTTTATCGATTGTTTGTTTAGGATTTTTTTTTAATCTCAATTTATTTTATTCATTGTTTTATCTGGTCGCATTTTAGACCTTACATAAGTTACTTCCTATCAAATGCCTGCACCAAAAGATTTGAATTAAAATAACTTAAATTAAATAACTATAGTTTCTCCTGCACACTTGAGAGGCTGAGCTGTATTCAAGTGTTTGCAATCTGCATCGCTAGATACCAATTAATCATACTGGTCCTTTAAAGTGTATAATAGTAATAATTGATGTGGAAAATGTGGAAGAAGCAGTCTCTCAAGCAGTTTGGTTGTTTTCGTTGCCTTTAGCTTTATGGAAGCTTGTGGATTGGCAAGTTTTGATATAAAAATAAGTCTTCAATTTCTCCTTGATACTGCAAATAGGATAAATATAATTTTTTGTAAATTTTATAATTTGACTCTCCCAAAGTAATACTGATAAAGCTGTCTTTAATGAATGTTAATCATTTCAGTCATTTCACACTCTCGATAATAGATGGATGCAGTGCATGCATGGGTTATTACCTTTTCTTTGAAATGGCACCAGACTAGGCGAGGACATCCCATTAGTGAATAAAATTCCTCTACTCCCACATCCAGTCCTTGTACCGCTCTCTCCTGTCTTTGCTCTCTGTTAAGAGGAGCTAAGAAGTGAGGAAACCATGTTAGCTAAATGGTAAGCATCCAATCAATGCTTTACACTAGATGTTACAATCTGGAGGAATATCATGTCAACAATGTCCAGTATTAACTCATGGTCATCTGCTAATTCACAGCAGCCACTTTGATGTGAAATAGTAGGGTAAACACAGGTGTTACCAATGATGCTAGCTCTCCACATCTATTCTGAACCTGTTGGATTACGTGTTAGAAGGTGTTTTAGTGCTAGAGATTTTGTACTCTACTCGTAATGATCATTGTGAAAGATACATTTGTTTTTCTATGCATACAGCATTAAGCTCCTTTCAGCAGACATTTTCCTCCTCAGTTGGCATCGTCCTGCATTCTCCACAGGTGCACCTGTAAAAGTACAGGTTATGTCAGTGTGACTACAGATGTCAACTACAGATGTCATATATGGACAATAGTACAGTGAAGTTATGTGAACAGTTTACTGCTTATTCTGTTGCTATAAGTAGGTAGTAGTAGTATAGATAGGCATGTGAAGTTTAGTGTAATCACATTAATATTGAAAATTGCAGAGGTTGCTGCATCTACACTGAACAAAATTATAAACCCAACACTTTTGTTTTTGCCCCCATTCA